CTTCTGATTTACTTGAGCATCAACGGGACGTCAGCTGGTTCAGAGATGGTGTGTATTCCTACATATCAGCAATTCTTGTTTTTATACCTCCTTGAGCCTGTATGCTGCAGTTTAATGCTTGCAAAGGTGAACTGGCAATCAGGATTCTTAGATTTTCTTCCCAGTTCTGTCCCTTGTCATTTAGCTTTTACCTCTGTTTCTCTATCCATTACATGAGGATCATCATACTGACCTGTCTCATGGAGGAATGTGGAACCTAATTAATTTCCTTGTATAAGACATTTTTAAGGTTTTTGGTTCTCTATGGTAAAAACACAGTGTGTTGCTACTATATTCCTGTAAAAGCAAAGATGATGCTGAGGAATGAAGTAGTTTTGCATCCTGTATGAGTGTAGGACAGAGGCCGCATAGCTGCATAACTATAGTTGCAAAGTCAAGGCCGTTGATCTTTGCTAGGATCAAACCTATGGGAGGCAGCACCTGCCTTCCACTAGACTCAGTTGTAGAAGCAGCAAGCCACACTAGAGGTAGGCCTGTGCCACAGAACCGGATCTATATCTGAACTCTCCCATCCTTTGGGAATGTGTTCTTATATGTTGAATATGCACTGGCTTAGTGCATATGTCACCTCTCCCTTAGAGGCTGCTAATTAATCAGCACTAATTGAATTAATTCTTTAGCTCAAGTATCAGAGGGTACTGAAGATCTTGTGCACTGAATGCAAGTAAGTCCTCAAGCACAGCTGCTAATGGCAACGTATGAATTTTGATTAAATTTTAGTGGAAGAATTTCCAGACAGTTCTAAGTTGAAATGAACTCTCAAGAAGTCAGCCCCTGCCTCCAACCAGCCCATGACACCAGCCTCCATCACCCACTTGTTAGGTTTTCAGATTAGCACCTTCATGCTTTCTCCACTGCTCTCCTTCATGTGTGGGAGGAGCTCCTCTAAAACATACATAAAGCCACCACAGTTTTTCTCTTTCCAATTGCTCCTTAAAACTCTCCTTTGTCATAATATCTACAAACACACTTGACAATGGGTAGACAGGAGGCAGAGCACATGACCAGTCTACCATGTTGCCTAATATTGTCTGTTTCAATTTGCTCCTGTGTATCTCTGCATCCACCAGTTATCTCCAATTTAATGCTTAGTTTGCAATCTCTTAGGACAGAAACCATCTTTTTGTTTTGTGTTTGTAAAGCACCTAGCCCAATGGGTCCCTAGTCCATGGTTACAGCTTCTAGCTGCTATAATAATGATGATAGGAGTAGGAGTAGGAGTAGTAATAGTAATATAAGTGTGCCTCCTGGGCAGGGCACAATTCAGTTAAGTTTTCTTGAACTTCCTTTTCATTTTACTCTAGGCAAGTTGGTGAAGGATTCCAAACATCAGCAAATAAAATGCTGGGATCATGAGGCTTCTCTGACTGTGCTGTGTGCTTACAAAGAAGATGAGGGATTCTACACTATCCGTGTCCCTACACTGGATGGATACAATGAACAGAGTGCTTACGTATTTGTCAGAGGTAGGTACGGGCTTTTATCCTACTTAGAACAAAAGCCTTTTGTCAATGAAGTGAAAAATTCACAATGAAGTGACTCTCCACACCGAATGTCTCAAAAATACCTGCATCCCCCTGTTCAGTAGTAAATAGGCACCTGGTAGGCTAAGTCTCATCACAAGCCCGTGAGACTCTGTGTCTAGGGGACAGATAGTTAAAGATACGTCGGTGCCTGAAGATTCACAGAATTTGTTTTTCACAGATTTCATAGACATTCGGGCTGGAAGGGACCTCAGAAG